TGTACTGGAAGTCTTAGCCACAGCAATCAGACATGAAGAAAAAATAAAAGGGATCCAAATTGGAAAGGAGGAAGTAAAACTGTCATTATTTGCAGATGACATGATATTGTACATAGAAAACCCTAAAGACTCCATCAAAAATCTATTAGACTTAATAAATGAATTTGGCAAAGTAGCAGGATACAAAATTAATGTCAAGAAATTGAAGGCATTCTTGTACATCAATGATGAACTCACAGAAAGAGAAACTGAAAAAACAATCCCATTTACCATTGCGCCAAAAAAATTACGATACCTAGGAATAAACTTAACCAAAGAAGTAAAGGACCTATTTGCAGAAAACTACAGGTCATTGAAAAAAGAAATAGAGGAAGATATAAAAAAGTGGAAGCACATACCCTGTTCATAGATTGGAAGAATTAACATCATTAAAATGTCCATACTACCCAAAGCAATCTATAGATTCAATGCAATCCCCATCAAAATACCAACGACATATTTCATAGAACTAGAACAAATACTTCAAAAGTTCACATGGAACCAAAAAAGACCCCGAATAGCCACAGCAATCTTGAAAAAGAAGAACAAAGTAGGTGGGATCACAATACCAGATATCAGGTTATACTACAAAGCGACTGTAACCAAAACAGCCTGGTACTGGCACAAGCACAGGCATATAGACCAGTGGAACAGAACTGAAAACCCAGAAATGGACCCAAGGCAATACGCTCAATTAATTTTTGACAAAGGTGGCAAGAGCATACAGTGGAGTAAAGACAGCCTCTTTAATAAATTGTGTTGGGAAAATTGGACAGCTACATGCAAAAAAATGAAACTAGACCATCAACTTACACCATACACAAAAATAAACTCAAAATGGATAAAAGACTTAAATGTGACCCGTGAATCCATAAAAATTCTAGAAGAAAATGTAGGCAACAAAATTTCGGACATCATACGGAGCAGAATTTTCACTGATACATCACCTAAGGCAACAGAAATAAAGGAGAAAATGAACACATGGGACTATATCAAACTAAAAAGCTTCTGCACAGCAAAAGAAACAATCATCAAAATGGAAAGGCAACCCACTGTATGGGAGAACATCATTGCCAATGATGTATCAGATAAGGGGTTAATTTCCAATATATAGAGAGTGCTCATACAACTCCACAAAAGGAAGACAAAGAACCCAATTAAAAAATGGGCAGAGGAGCTAAATAGACACCTCTCCAAACAGGACATACAAATGGCCAAGAGACATATGAAGAAATGCTCAACATCACTAATCATCAGAGAGATGCAAATTAAAACAACAATGAGGTATCACCTCACACCTGTCAGAATGGCCGCCATCAACAAATCATCAAACAACAAGTGTTGGCGAGGGTGTGGAGAAAAGGGGTCTCTAATACACTGCTGGTGGGAATGCAGACTGGTGCAGCCGCTATGGAAAACAATATGGTGCTACCTCAAAAAATTAATAATTGAACTTCCATTTGACCCAGTGATCCCACTGCTGGGAATATACCCTAAGAAGCCTGAAACACCAATCAGGAAGAATATATGTACCCCCATGTTCATAGCAGCACTATTTACAATAGCTAAGATCTGGAAACAGCCCAAGTGTCCACCAGTAGATGAATGGATAAAAAAGCTGTGGTACATATACACAATGGAGTACTATGCAGCGGTAAGAAAGAAAGATCTCTTATCCCTTGAGACGGCATGGAGGGACCTGGAAAGTATTGTCCTAAGTGAAAGAAGCCAAGCAGAAAAAGACAAATACCACATGATCTCACTTATATACGGAATATAATGAACATGAATTATATATATATAGTCTGAGGAATACAGTAGACCCAGACACATGGAAGTAGGGCACAGACTGACATCCCTCAGAAGAGGGGATGGGGGGTGGGGGGGTGGGAAGAGATAAACCACAGAACTTATATGCATGTATGCATGACCAATGGACATGGACAACTAAGCCGGGGACAGGGTGGAGGGGGGGTAGGGTGGGGGGTGCCAATGGGGTAAAAAGGTAAAATGTCTGTAACAAAAAAATAAATAAAAATTCATATTAAAAAAAAAAAAAAAAGAAAATATGCTAGGTGACTAGAGTGGAAAGGAGGAGGGTGAATTACTTTTGAAAATTAACAAGGGAAGAGCAGAGTGAGCCCACCATGCTGAGGAAGAGGTAGACATTTGTACATAGTAGAAGAGAAATCGGTTTCTTATCAGCTCTTGGAGTGGTAAGACCACAGCCAAGGACTAGCTGAGGAGTGCACTGGGGTAGTGAGCTGAAGCTTAGCCGTTTGGTTCTAGCTCCAGCAAAGATGCTCTCTTTTTCACAGACATCTTGAGAGCAGAAGGAGACCTTAATTCAAGAAATTAATACTGGCTTAAACAATGACAATGTCAGAAGTTGTCATGACAACTAAGAGATTTGACTCTGCATAAAAGATTCCAGGTATTGGTGAGGTTTTGAGAAGAAGGGACCCCTATAACATCTAAGGTTGATATTCCTTCCCATCAATCAGGTATGTTGGAGACTCAAAGTCATTTAATTTAATTTGAGAAAATGAAGGCTCAGGTGTTTGTTTTGTTATGAAATAGTTTCACAATTACTTCTTAGGTTTTCTTTGACCAGTTTTTCAGATCTTAGATTTTATAGCATGTGAAGTATAAGGTATTTAATTAATATTGTGGTGCTGAATTACTTGAACACTAGCAAGGAAATATAATAGCTTTGCCTTGTTCATTGATTATACAAATAGAAATTAAAAGTGTTTTAACCTAGAATATTTCGTCATATGAAAAATTCCAAGTCATGTATAGTTTTAATTAAAATGCCAAAGTTCAGATATTTCACTTCCATGTGGAATAATGCTAAAAATACATTTGTCCAGGCATTGTCAAAATTGTACAATTCTGCCTGGCCAGTGCGGCTCAGTGGTTGCGTGTTGACCCATGCACCAGGAGGTCGCCGTTTTGATATCCGGTCAGGGCACATGCCCAGGTTGTGGGCCCAATCCCCAGTGGGGGGCATGCAGGAGGCAGCCAATCGATATTCTCCCTCATCGATGTTTCTATGTCTCTCTCTCTCCCCCATCCTCTCTCTCTAAAATCAATAAAGAAAAAAAATTTTTTTTTAATTGTACAATTCAATCTAATAACCTCAAAATCTGGAGCTTTCCTGGTTTTCTAGACAAACCACTTCAGTACTTTCAACAGAACAGAATCATATTAAAATCAGGTCAGAAGAATCGCCCGTACACTTAAACTCTTCCAAATGTTTCTCATCTTACTCTGATTGAAAGCCCAGATCGTTGCATAGTGTTCAAGGCCCTATATGACCTGCATGCCACATTCCCTCCTACCCAGTCCTCTGCTGTCCTCCCAATAGCTCATTCTGCTCGTCTTTCTGGCCTCTTTGCTGTTGGTCATACACACCGGGAGTGTTTCTACTTAAGGACCTTTGTATTTGCTATTCTCTCTACCTGGAACAGCATTCGGGTAAACCCACATATTCAGCTCTACTACCTCCTATCAGTGGTCTAGAGCAAATTGCTTAACCATCTTCCCTAGCTTTCTCTATAAAAGCAGAAAAAAATAAGCCTTGTTTTAAGGATTAAATGACTTAACATACGTAAGAACTTAGAACAGCATGTGGCAGAATGACTACTATAAAAATCATTCACTAGTATAATTTGTACTAAAAGCCTGAGCAGGTGTTTCCGATCACCTGATCATCCCTTCATAAAACAAATTTGCAAGTGTTGTTTGTGAGGCACATCCATCCATTCTTCTAAATTCTGAAATGTTAATTAATTTGACAGTGGTAGAAACAATTTCTAATATCAATTATAATTGTTTACAGAATTCTTCCTCCTAATCTACTGGGACATTTTCAACAAATTCAAAAACAAAGAGCTCTCTACCACTAATGTCCGATACAAATGCATACTTAACAATTACTTCCCAGTCCCACTCACACTGCGGCTCCAATGACACCAAAACACCTGAAGTGCCTTCTCATTCACTGAGAAACATGGAAATGTTTCTTCCATGTAGATTTAAAGTTATATTTTACTATGGAACTAATCCTTTGAAAACTGGTCACAGCACAATGCTAAAAATAGCTCTAAATATGGAGCTATTTTGATTCAAATGCTGCTGTACCACTTCACAGCTGTATAAATGAGTGAGCAAGTTACTTATTCATCCTAAGACTTACTTTCCTCCATTCTGAAATAGAACATAATGCTTACTATGCTTACTTTTCGAGCTATTTGGAGAAAAAAAAATAATGTGCATTAAAATGCATTTTTAAAATCAATATTATTAACAAAAATAATAAATGTGTTCAGTATTTACCATGTGACCTGCTCTATGCTAGATGCTTTCTATGAATTATCTTATTTTCAGAAAGATGATTTTGTTGTACACCCTTTCAATATCCTCATTGTTAGATAAAACTGAATCTGACTCAAGTAACTTGTAATTTAAAGAAATATTAATATTTCTGCAAATTAGCATTCTTTCCAAAATGTATGATTGATCATGACAATCACTGCAAAGTCATATTAACTATCACAAGGTTCACTATATTCAATGCAATACATATTGCAAAATAACTCCATTTATCAACTTATAAAGCTATAGTTTTTGTCTAGACCTACTTGATATTAAGTATGTCAATAACTATATATTAATATAGCATTTTTTAACTTTTAAACTGAGACATTAACATATATAATGAATGTGCTAAAATGTTCTCCCAATTTGTGAAAAATTAGGAAAGCAGGTTTTAAATATTTCTCTCACAGAAACACTGTTCAGAATTAATCACATCTTTAAGAATTTTAAAACGTCTTATAAGTTGAATATTTATTTGCAATATAGAAGCATGTTTACCATAGCCAATATTATATACACAGTATGCATCATAATTCATTGAATGGAGAAGGTGAATAAAAACAGGAACAATCAAATACCCTTTTCCGAGTCTTCTCCTTAAGGAAAGGCCGGATTACAGTGTACAGGGCATGGATATACCACGGTTGGTTGACAAAATGAATTCCTCCGAATCGTGCAGGAAAACTGTCCTAGAGGAACATGAAGGGAAAGAAAATCCAACATACTTTATCATATGGCAAAGGTTTAGGGAAGGTCCTATGGTAGACAAATATTTTTATTACACACACTAAATGAGATTAGCAGTATAGTTAGGAGAAGAAAGATGACATTTGTCGCATTAAACATTGTATCTGCCACACAAAAACTGAAGCAATATGTAATAAAGCAAATTCTTTGCAAGAATAGATTGGTGATATGAATTTCAGCATGTTTAGGACTGTCATATTTTAAGCCTGCAAACTGCCAAAATTCATTATAAGTAAAAAAACATAAATAAAAGACACTAGAAATTTGTCAAATAATAAACCTATGATAGGTAAGTTTTATTAAAATTATTTCCATTAAAGTGTATCTAAATTAAAATGTTTTATTAAATTTCACTGTAGCCTGGCTGGTGTGGCTCAGTGGTTGAGCGTTGACCCATGCACCGAGAGGTTGCCGGTTTGGTTCCCAGTCAGGGCACATGCCCAGGTTGTAGGCATGCAGGAGGCAGCAAATCCATGTTCTCTCTCATCGATGTTTCTGTCTCTCTCCCCCTCCCTTCCTCTCTCTCTCTAACATCAATAAAGAAAAAAATGTTCACTGTAATCATTTATAATATGAGCACTGTCAGATATCAAAACTCACTTTATTCTCTTTCTCTTACCAGCTTTATTATAAACATTCTCCTTTCTTTATTTCAACCACCAACAAAAGGAAATGAACTTAAAGCAAAATAAAAACCTAGAATAACAGTGTAAGAAATTTGGAGATGGATTCTGCCAGATTAAATAAAAGTCAAAACCCTCTGAGCTCACCCCACAAGTAGAAAGGGGGCTCTCATAACATGAGTCTTTGCTTTGGCAAGAACTCACCTGCGTAAGGTTTGTATCTGAAGTGATATTGACAAGTACATCCCAAACTCATTCCACAACAGGAAGGGAATCTTCAAGTGAATTAACTGGAACATTTGAAAACACTATGGATTCCACATAAATGGACCTGATTCTTGCTACTAGTTCAAAATTCCACAATGAATTGAATATTAATGTCTTCAGAAAAATTATATCACTAGAAATGTCTCTCAAGGAACCTCATAGTAATTGGCATCCTTCTGGATTCTGCTTAGAGCATTAACAGAAACAAAAGTGAAAATACTGAAATAATTGTATGTGTAGCTTTTAAATGTAAATGTTCTCTTGAACAAGATTCAAAAGGTTAAAAACATGCATAATATAACCCCGTTAATAAATTTGTTTTGGGGGACACTTATGAGCATTAGTAATTAATTCGTTTTTTTGTGTACTGATTTTCAGAGCCGACAAGCATTTTTGCAAAGTAATTTCAACCTCTGAGAATAACACACTATAAAAAAACCCACACTACTTCAAAAAATAAATAAATTAGAATAGCTAAAGGTAAAATGTGATTCCTTCTATGTTCATGTCATTACTTTTTTCGTAAATAAGCAGTTTCATTCATCAAGAGGCTATTACAATGATGGAAAGAGATCTGAGAGAAATGAAGACAAGTGTGTTTTGAACTTATAACATTTATATACCTGAAAAGAAGATAATAATGTATATAAATCAAAAGAATGCTAGGATAAAGACTCATCTGCCCTCCACTCAGCTTAAGAAATAGCAAATCATTGGTAACCTTGAAGTTCACTGTATTCATATTCTTCTATCCTTCCCCACATTTAAAATTTTATATTATATTTCAAATTTAAACATTTCCCTGGCTTATATTTTATTTACTAAATATATAAATATTACATTTATTTTATATTTTATGTATTTTAATATTTTATTTTTTGCTATATACATGCGCCCCATAAATATACTATTAAGTTTTTTAAGTACTCGAACTTTATAAAAATGTCATCATAGTGGATGTACTCTTCTGTTGTCATATAACATTAGCTTTATGGTTCACTATATTGAGGTTCATACACGTTGTATAGAGCTATAGCTCATTATCACTGTTGTATTGTATACCAGTATGTCGTACAACACAATTCTTTAACTTTTTTCATTCCAAGCACAGTGTTTTCCAAATTTCTGCTTTGCTTTGCTTTGCCATTACCAGCAATGCTGCCCAGCGGACTCCTTCCTAACATGCCTCTCGTGCATGTTCAACTGCACTCTGTACATGGGGCATTTATCTAAAAGCGTCAATGTTGAGTCATTGAGTATATATACCTCACCTTTACAAAACTGGTGCAAGCAATTTACCAGTTTACTTCCTCTTTCCCCCAGTAATGCAGGAAAGTTCCAGCTGGTAGTGTTAATATACTGCACTTGGTAGTGTTAATTTTTCTAATTTTTGTCAATCTAGTGGGTGTAAAATAGATTTTCATGAGATTGTAATGTGCTAATTGCTTGGTTTAGTTTAATTCCATCATTAATAACATTGTTTGATAACTATTTTATACACAGGCATTTTGTTTCTGAGTCCTTGAGGACTTGAATTTGTTTGCTGTCTCTGCTGACCTTGTTCATGGTATATTGTTGATGGTGAGCTCATATTTGGCTAATATTAATCACTGGGAATCCTAAAAGAGCTAGTTTGAGGATGTCTTTCTCCAGACAAGATCTGTATAAGCTCCTACTAGGCGCTATCAACCTGGTTTGGCTTTAATTTATTTTCCACATTGAGCTTTCTTTGTGCAGTGTATATTCAAATCTTAGAACCATATGAAAAAAAATTATTACAGACGATCAGGGAATACTGTTATCATCACCATTATTAATGGGGATATGAGAGGCAGAGAAGTTTCCTTAGAGGTTTCCTGGTCAATGGGGATTTTCCTGGCACAACCTATCCCTAAGGGTATAGCACCTGAGGGAACACAGGGTCTCACATTCAGTCCCCCCACTTGCCCTCAGTGTGTTCAAGCCTAGCCTCTGCTGCTGCCCAACCTGTGTCCCAGGCAATCATTACTCTTTAAAGCTCAAGGTTTCTGCAGTCAACTCTTGCCTCCAGAACTACCCAGGATTTACTAATTCTCTTGCTTTTATTCCCAGTAGACTTTGTGTGTTTGGATCTGAGGTTATTTGTCTCAGATTTCAGCAAGGCATCTGGAAATATTTTTATTATGATATATCCAACACTTTGATGTTTTATAGCAGGAAGAACTTTGAGTTTTTACCCTACTGCAATACCTTAAGCAGTACGCTTTTAAATATACGCCTGAATGAGCATTTGATTTCTAGAACAGAACTGAATGAATACCAGCTATCAAGTTATGAAGCCAAAAGTCTTAGCTCAGTGACTTTTAAACTTTGAGAATCATTTGGAGGTCATGCTTCTTCTATCCTGTAAAGAAAAAAAAAAAAAAGAATATGCACACTTATACACATAACTCTGACAAGATGTCACGGGATTTCTTGGATACATCTTCAGATACAGGAAATTTTGATCAGATCACAGTTGAGACAGGGTGAAAAATAAGGAAGAAAACTGACTTTGAAATGAAGCACAGCTAGGTTAATATTCTGACTTAATGCCCCCTTTCAGGCATCAAAGTCCAAAACAGGGACATAATTTTTTATTCTGTCCTTTTCCTCACTGTGATACCTCTCATTTCCTTTTTCTCTGTCTTCTCCTTGGGGTATTACCACATACATATATTACACCTTTTGCAGTTGTCCCACAGTCCTTGGATACTCTCTTCTGGGTTTTGTTTGTTTGTTTTGCTCTTTCAGCTTTTATTATCTTTGCTTTTCAGTTTGGAAGATTTCTATTGATATCTGCTCAACCTCAGAAATTCTTTCCTCAGCTATGTTTAGTCTATTAATAAGCCCATCGATGGCATTCTTCATTTCTGTTGAAGTGTTTGTGGTCTCTTGCATTTCTTTTTAGTGTTTCCACCTCATGTACATTTTCCATCTGTTCTTACATGCTGTCTACTCTATCCATTAGAGTCCTTGCCACAGTAATCAAAGGTGTTTTAAATCTCTAGCTTGAGAGTTCCAACATCCCTGCCATGTCTGGTTCTGATACTTGCACCGTCTTTTCAAATTGTGTTATTTTGCCTGTTTTTGATTTAGTACATCTTATCATTTTTTCCTTGTTGGCCAGATATTCTGTACCAGCTAAAAAGGAACTGTTGTAAAGAGGCGGTTAGTAAGGCGGTGGTAAGGTTGGGGGAAAGGAAAGCATTTCATAGTCTAAGATTAGGTGTTAGTCTCTCAGGGAGCCTGTGCCCCTGGAATGTGAACTCACAAGTGTCTCAGTTTTTTCTCTCCCCTTAGGTGGGACAGGCAGCCTAGAGTCAGCTATGTTCCTACCCCCAGATCAGTAAGGCTCTGAAATACCCCAGCAGGTTAGCTTTGTTAACCAGTTTCTCCCGAGGGCAGACTGTTGAGAACAGAGTGCTCTCTGGCATATTTCACAATGGTGCCTTTGACTCTTCCCTGGACAGAAACACAGAGATTTTCCTCTGATGTTTACTGACAGAACACTGTTGAGCTCTGGAGGTAAATCTAAAAGGGGCAGGAGGTGGGGGAGGGGACTATGACCAGCACAACCTGGAGTTTTTATCTTCCAGCCTTGTCCGCAGGGAGTCTCCAGCCCTTTCAGCAACAGTCCTGGTTGCCCTCCCCCAGCACTGGCTCCTGTGGTTTCCTCTCATGAGTCCGCTGCAGTCAGGAGACTCCCGGTATTTGCTTATCTCTTCAGTCCTGGTGGTAGTGGTTTGCCCTGTATGCTCACATTACTTACGGATCTAGGAAGAGTGGTTGATTTTTCAGTTTGTTTGGTTTTTCACTCGTTGTTAGGAAAGGGTGGCAACTGCCAAGCTTCTTACAAGTGGAACTGGAAAGAAGAGTCTAATCCCCTCATTTCTGATCACACCCCAAATCCTGCAATACTTATGCCCCCACTTCTGTGTGGCTTCAAATTTTCATATCTACCCTCCATGATGCAAATGTGATTACAGTAAAATCCCAAACCCACGACCTCCACTCCCCTGCTTAGCACCATG